ATATATATATATATAATAGATATATAGAGAATACATGTAAAACAAATGAACCACATCTATATTACAAAGTACTAGTCATAAATGAAGTGAAATTTCTTTAACTTCCTCAAATGAAGATAAAAAGGAAAGGAGGTAAAGAGAATGTCTCATTGAACTTTGGTTTTTGTTCAGAATTAGTGAGTTATCAATGTCTTTTTTTTTCTTTTCTTTTTCTTTTGTATTGGAGATTGAACTTAGGACCTTGCACTGGTGAGGCAATCAATGTCATTCTTAAAAAGGGTGTTCTGGGCTGGGATTTAGCTCAGTGGTTCCAGTGCCTACCTTGCAAGCACAAGGACCTGAGTTCGATCCCCAGTTCAAAAAAAAGGGGGGAGGTGTTCTAAGTATCAATATTTTAAAGCATATTTAGATAACAGTTAATTATGAGCATTTCTGGAAGTCTCTGTCTTACAGGTGAAACATGGCCACTCTAATCAGAATGCAAAATTCTAGTCAAAATGCAAAGATTTTCATTGTTTTGAACTTCTCTGTTATAAATGCCATTGCTTCCTTCACTTGAAAACACTGCCCATTTCACTAGGATGTGAGTCATCACTTTGGCAGCATGTTATTAATTTCATTTTAATGGGCTTCTTGGTGCTTGGGTATAAGAGCATCTTTCCCATCTTGATCACACATTTGTTTCCTGCTACTGATATACTCTATTGTGTCCACTGTTGTTCCCTCAGTTGTGATTCCTTGATCACATCCCTCAGCAGAAGGGTAGAGAAGCTCAGCTCCTTCTTGCTAATGGGAGGGAACTGCTCTTCTCATTTCTCTTGAGGACAGACCACTCAGCAAACCATAGCCAGTCCCCTCACCTCCCTGGACCTGGCAGCATTGCAGCTAATGTAGCATCAAAGGAGGAAAACAAGTCTGACAAAGAAGTGCCATTTATAGGGCAGACTCATCTCTTCCCAACAGCTGAAATAAGAGGATGACCAGAGGCCAGAACCTGGGACATATTCCTATCCGTGGGGCCAGGTTATGCTGGCAGCTCTCCTGTGATTCCTGGGCCTTCTAGAGCCCTGTGGCTTCTAATATTCTCAGGCCAAGAGAAATGCCAGGGGCTGCCATTGGACGCTGAACCTCACAGCCCCTTGGAGCTCACTGGCCTCTACTAGTTAGCAGATCACTGGCATATAATGGCACTGAATCAATGTCCGAAAGAATTCAGCTTTTTCTTTTCTCCACCATCCTTTAGTAAATCCCATACTCATGTATTAAATCAGTACTTCACAAGGTAAGATAATACAGTACAACACGTTCTCTTCCTTCTTTCTCCTTCATCCATTCCATGTTTATTTATCTTTCCCTTTCCATCTCCCTCTTTCCTTTAGAC